AAGATATCTAGTTGGTATAAATTAGCATTATGATCTGTCTACAGCCAAATCTAATAGCAGTGCTGGCTAACTTGTAATTTCTGTTTTCTTTCTGTTCGCTGTTGTCATTATCAAAATGCATGACTGCCTGTTAAGTACATTAGAAATTCAGAGCATACCTCAAGATCCAGCGGATCAAGGAGAGAAGGGCATGAAGTCAGGATGGCGCAGTGTGGGATTTCATCTGTTCCCTTAGTTATCTTTACCTTGTGGTAGATGCTCAATACACGCTTGGTGGAGGGGTTTGAGTGGGAACTCTCATTGTGCCACTGGAAGTTTGCTCTGGTTCTTTCCTGTTAGCTTGCTTTTGAGGACATGGTCTCCCGGTATCTCCTGGGTTCTAGCTGGGCCTGGAGCTCCTTAGACAGATGTGGATGATCTCGAACTTCTGACTCTTCTGCCTCCACCTCCTGAGTGTAGACGTAACAGGGGTGTGCCACCGTGCCTGAGTTATGTGGTGCCGGTGATCAGACCCAGGACTAAAGGCATTTCATGCTTGTTAGACATAGACTCTACTGGTTAAGCTACATCCCTAGCCCTACTCCAGTTTTTTCTATGACAGTAACAAAGATATGTTTCCCTCCTACCACAGTCAATGAGGCATTCTATACTCTTTAAAAATATTAAATAAATCCATCCTATCTTCAGGGGTTGTATATCAGCTACCTGTGATGTTCAGTATTGGGATAATCAGGCCTGGTCCCCATTTTCCAACTTGGGACAGTTCTACAAGACATCATAGCATAAATATCTCCATGGGACAGTCTAAGATATTATTACATTTTCCTTCCCAATCTTACTTCTATTTCAGTACAATTCCCAAGAGCTTCCCCCAGTAAACTTCCTGCAAGGGCATTTAGTCTCTTAACCTTCTCTCTGGGCAATATGAGCTGTAGTACAACCTGTTTGTTATTTTTAAAATTCTTACTTCACCACAGCTTGAATTATGTCAAATATGTTCTTGCATCCTTGAACCTAGGCTAGCACTATGCTGCCATATCAAGACCAGCAGGTCTATTGTAGAAATCAAATCCTGTCACGAAGACTCGAGTAATTATTTGGAGAGCTAAATATTAACATGCAGCTTTCACATGGCTTTTTGTCCCACAGACGTGGCCTGACTCACCCACACCTTCCCGCCATGAGTCAACCTTTTCATGGTCAAGTTCACAATAATACTGAGCTCTGGTTCCATAATAGGCAATGATTTGTCACAGAAACAATTTGAATTGGGCTAAATCGTTCCTATTTATAGATGTGCTTTTAAAATTCATTTATTTCTTTGAATTTTTTCCCCATATGGTTCCTTTTTTCCAGGGCTTAGACCCTAAAAGATCTGGGGCGTGGCCCCAACCTTTTCATGTCCCCACGTCTCCGTCTCTCCACGCAAAGTCTATTCGGTTAGGAAGCAGGGGTCAGGCTCATTCTACTTCCTGCTGTATTTTTTTTTTTCTTAAGAGAATTGGTATTTTTAGAAAGGTGAAATAAACAGGATTGGCTCCAAATCCATTTGTGAAGTATGATTTGCCCATGGGGAGCCTTTTCCCTTTTCTGGTCGCTTTTTCATTGTGGCTCCTCCTCCATCCCTGCAGAGCTCTTGGGCCATAGCCTACTTCCTGTCATTTTCCACGGTATACCTCTTGTCGTTGACCCAGCTCTGTCTACGGCCCAGACACAGACTGTGTTCCACCGTGTTCTCTACTCAATGGCTCCTCACCCAAGGCCAAGCGAACTCCCGTCCTTCAGGAGGCAACCCTGCTTGGTACCTTCATAGCTATTTAATAACTATGTTAGCGAATGATTGAGTATATGAATAAATGAAGCTTTCTCATACTGCATAACACCCGTCCTATCCTTCAACTGCCCCAAACATCTGTATTAATACGAGTTTGATGAACACAGTCTTCCTTTGAGGCATGACACAATGAAGTGAACTGGGAGAGGGACTCTGTGCTAAATGCGTGCTAGGACAATTTATGCTACGATGCTTTGACTTCTGAGACCTCGCTGGCTCTAGAAAATCTGCCCTTCCCGGGAACCCGAGTAGGCAGCGAGACCAAGAGGAATGAGACTTCTATTTAAGCTGCTTGTTATGGCCTCATCTGAGCACAGGATAATATATAATATCATTTCTCCTAAGCCCTTTATAATGTCCTGAACTCTTCTCTCTGGGAGAGCTTGATGGCTATCCTTGATTGTCAAGGATCTGGAAATGGAAGGCACACTTGAAAGAGATTTCTTGCTTGATTTGAAATGGGAAAATCCATTTCTAGTCTGGACCTTTGAGGTAGGAAGTCACACGCCAATGACACAGATCTTGAGCAGGGAAGGCACACATCTTTAATTTGAATCGTCAAGAGGGCAGACACACCTTCAGTTTGGACCACATCCGCTGGAAGCCTATGTAAGGGCATGGAAGGGAGTTCTGACTGCTCGTCTTACCCTGCATAGCAAGTCCATTTTTTCACTGGCATCAGGGCTTCTTTCTTTAGGATCCCAGTGTCTCCTGAAGACCAGCTGAGACATCCAGCCTTGGGGACTGAGCAACTTCTAGATTCTTGGACTTCCCATTCATAGCCACCCACATTGGATTGATGTGTCCATAGCCTGTAAGTGATTCTAATAAATCCCATTCACCCCCCCCCCGATCCTACAAGTATCTTCTCAATTTTCAAGGAATTACACAATAATGTGCATATTAGGATGAGTTTTCCCTCAATCTATGAGGTCTCTCTGCTCCAACACTGTGAGGTCAGTGGCTCTGGGCTGCTTGGCAGGCATCCTGCCCTCCTTGAGGGAGCAGCTATTGTGTTGCTAAGGAGACACTAAGGATGTAAAGGTGGCTTGTGGCTTGCTCCTTCATCTCTCTGATCTCTCAGCATTTCCCCTAATATCTGACTCCAGGTTTTTATCTGAGACCAATTAGGAGCTTGTTTCACACAGAGACCTCATATGAACACACACACATACCCTCAAATCTCTTCTCTCTAAAGGAGTTTCGTCCTCTGCTCTTGAGTCCTCAGAGTTACAAAGAACAGGATCAGTACTGACGAAGATATGGAGACTTCCTGGCAGTTTTGAAGAGCCTTGAACTGATAAGGAATAATTCATTTGAACATTACAGATACACAAATGTAAGCATGCAAGATGATATATGACAAAATTGCTACAGAATACCATCAACCAGCAAAATAAAGCTGCTGTTTTGTCAGTACTTATGAGGTCTGCATTGGCTATCAGCATGAGAGGGAAGGTATATTAGGATAAAAATGCTGAAATCAACCCATTACTAAATATGATTCTGGCATTTTATTAAATTACTTTTTTAAAGGAAGAAATAGGGGAAGTTGAGGAAAATGGAAGAATGAGAGAGATAAATACCTTGGAAAAGAAAATGATAAAAGGTTGGCTTGTATGGAGGACTAGAGACAATGTAAATGGCTTTAAAGTAACCAGGAGATGGTCTGAGGGTGTGGCTAAGTGTAAGAGCACCCACCTAGGAAGCACAAGGCCCAAGTTCAATTCCTAACAGCAACAAAAGGAAAAGACAAACGAACATGGAGTTGAAGGTGCACTTAAGACAGTGGTTCTCAACCTGTGGGTGGCGACCCCACTGGCGGTGTGGAACGACCCTTTCCCAGGGGTTGCATATCAGCTACAGGGGTTGCATATCAGCTATACTGCAATCAGATATTTACATGAGGGTTCATAATAATAGCAAAATTACAGTTATGAAGTAACATTGAAAACAGTTTTATGGGGGGGGTCACTACAACATGAGGAACTACATTAAAGGGTCATAGCATTTGGAAGGTTGAGAGCCACTGCCTTAGGGGATGGTGACAAGGCAGCATTAGAATTCAGAGTTGCAAGAAAAGACCTCTTGAGGGGCTAGGAAACACCCAGTAGGGATCCTCCATCCCAAAGAATTCCGGAGTGGAAATGTCAGAATGTCAAGGAAGCATTCGGGGATGAGCCTGCTTTGTGCTTCTGTGCAGTCCTGGGGTGGACCCGATGACCCCTCCAGCTCCTGGTTCCTGTGTTCCTGCAAGAGTTGCTTTCACAGTCTCCTTCCCAGCCACTGACCACGCCCAGGGGCCATGAGGTTAGACCACGGAAAGGAACAAACAACCCTTTCACTCCTTGTCTCTCACTTGGAGCGGTCCTTCTCTGTTCAGCTGTGGTTTTGCAACTCTTCAGCACTTAGGCACTCTTCTTTAGAGCCAAGGGCCTGGAGGGGGTGGGAAGGCTGCGACAATGTAGCATCTGTGTGTTGACAGTAACAGCCTGTGGCCAGCGACCCACAGTCAAACTCCCCTAACTCCCTCCCATGTGCTGGACCGCACACCTTACTGGCAGTAACCGTGGTTAGCCCCAGCATGCCCTGACGCCAAATGCCCACCCCTTTCTGTCTCTCCCTGACCTTTTACCTAATTGATCCCTGGGTCCTTTGTCACATTTGTATCACTCCTCAGGCAGGATGGTCGTATCCCACCCGAACAGGGAACAACACATCAGAGGGTCATGACCTAACAGGAAACAGAGCCCTGGAGGGCGTGGCATGTACCGCTGAGCTGGGCTGCTGGGTTCCCTCCAAAGGGTTTGGCTGCAGAGATGTAACTCTTCTTTTAACAGTGTTGGATTTTATTTATTTCATGGGTTGCTGGTTTACACGGGGAGCTGCAATCACCAGAAACTTGGAGGCATCATTTAACTTTTGGAGGGGGGGGGAAAAAACCCAAACATGTTTTTGTTCTTGGCCCCAAGTCAGAGAAGGGTATGTGCTTATGAAAGAAGGTGAGGTTTCTATCCTTGGATGACCCCAAAGGAAAAGGAACTGCTGTGTAAGCCGTGTGCAGGGTACCGATTCAATGTCAGTGACACACTAGATCGGCCTCTCTCTAGGAACGCTTTTCCTTCAGAGATGCCGAGGTCTCTCTCTTCAGAACTTGCTCAGGGTAAGAAATTAGGCTGTGTGAAGGAGATGATGGAAAGTTGAGAACAAAGGAGGCAAGAAAGGGAGATGCTCAGATACAAAGGAAGCTTGGTGACCCTCCCGCGCCCTGTTAGAACACCCGTGTCCACTGGTGGGGAGATTCGAACTGCCCCTTTTTATTCAGCACAGAATAGACACTTCGCAGTGAGCCAAAGTACCAGGGAGAGCTCAGAGCTCCTCCTTCCTGGCATCCGCATCTTCTTCCGCTTTGTGATCTCTCTGGAAAACAGAGTGATGCTGAATTTAGAGTGCAGATTTAATTACTCTTGAGAAACCTTAATTAAATCTACCTTCACTTTGAACCGCTCAACTCTTCTATTGTTAATACTTTTTTTTTTTCCCCCAAGAGGTCTCAGTATGGAACTCTGGCTGGACTTAAACTTATTATGTACCCCAATCCGGCTTCACACTGTGGCAGTCTACCGCCCCAACCACCAGAGTACCTGGCATGAGCCACACCATACCTCATGCATGAGCGCTTCTATAGGATTTAAGTTATTTCACAATGGTCCTTGAACAGAAAATGGAGAAATCCCAAACCTTTGCAAAAGGTTGTCTCTCACTAATGGTGTCCCCTGAACTCTCTGCTCAGAGTCACCATGCTCCGAAATGAAATGCACACAGAGGAGAGCAATAGCTGCTTTACCTGAAGCCCACCCACACTCACCAGCAGCGTCCCTTTCAGGAAGCCATGGCAGAAGTCTTGGACTTTCTCCACTGTGACTTCTGTGACAGGCAGCGTGTCCCACTTGTCTTCCACAGTTTCATAAATGGCCAAAGCCGGCAGCTGAGACTCCTTTAGTTGGAAATAGGCTACCACCTTTCGGTTTTCCCCCCTGCCGCTGTCCACCAGAACAAAGAGGATCTGTGCTTGGGGAGAGGTTAAAGAAAAGGGTCTAGCTGAGAGCCTGGCGACAGAGAGAGACACTAGTAATTGCTGTCACTACACAGACTGAATCTAGTCTAAATTAAAGGCTGGCATGATGGAGCACATTTGTGATTCCAGCCCTTGGGGGGAAGAGATAGGAAGACCAGGGGTCCAAAGTCACATTTAATATCAGCAAGTTAGCAAGTTCGAGGCTAGCCTGGGCTATTTAAGACGCCTCCCTCCCCCAGCACATCTTGATTAAAGTAAATGAATTTGAAATTTATTTTTGTTGCTTTGATAATTTATCCCTTTAGTCAGATTTAGCTACAAGAATTTTGGTCAGTTGTGGTGGCACACACCAGTTTTATTTGCTAAAGGAGGAGAAGGCACGAGGTTCATGAGTTCTAGACCAGCCTGGGGTACATATTTTTGGCTGGGCAGAGTGGCACATGCCTTTAATCCCAGCACTTGGGAGGCAGAGGCAGGTGCTTCTCTGTGAGTTTGAGGTCAGCCTGATCTACAAAGTGAGTTCCGGGACAGCCAGGGTTGTTACACAGAGAAATCCTGTCTAGAGAAACCAAACTAAAATAAAAATAAACAAATTAAAAAATTATAATTTGGGGCTAGAGAGATGGCTCAGAGGACCCGGATTTGGCACTGAGCACATCACACCAGGAAGTTCACAAGCCCCTATCACTCCAGCTACAGGAGACCCAACAGTCTCTTAGAATCTCTCAACCCCCTACCCCTGCCCAGATGGAAAATAAAAACAATCTTTTAAAAATGAATTTGGACTTTGAAGACACCTTGATGATTCCCTAAGCAAGGAAGTCTAGCCTGGTGATTAAAGGCAGAGAGAGTGAGGTTACATTTGCTTCCATCTTCCTAGCTGTGTGACTTGTGACTTCGTGTCTCTGGGACTTCAGTTTCCCTATCTATGAAAGGAGACGGCGTCTTTGGTAATTTCGGTGCTTAGTATGAGATTGGTAAACAATATTTTCTAGACATTCTAAAAACATCCCCCGCCCTCATGCAGTGGCTCCCCAGAGCCACGGATAATGCTGTCCTTTGCTGTACGGACACACTTTGTATATAATAGTTAATAACAAAACCATTGTAATTAATATGTGACCGTGAAAGCCCTTTAAAGTACATGGGTTGTTTGCTTCTGGAATTCTCCATTTACTACCCATGGTTGACTGGGTAATTGGAATGTGGAAAAGGAAACCACAGATGAACCGGGGAGCTGGGTGGGGGGCTGTTTCTTAAGTCAGGTCTATCCAAAGTGGAAATCCTTATGGTATTCTGAGAAGAGGATTGTCTGCGTTCAGGAACACTCTGTCTGCTCCCCATGTCAGAGAACCAGTCCTCCCCGAGACAGCTTATGTGATGGCTCTCCTTAGAGAGCCTCTGGTTGGGTAGATGGCAGTGGCTGTGTCAGAGAACTCCACCCAGGAGGGAGAGAGGAACAGATAGGACCATGGTGCACTCGAGGCAGGCACCTGGTGCTCTGTAGGTACTCATGTGAGCAGTGATCTCTGCTCTCTGCCCCCGCCTTTGGAGGGGTGAGTAAACAGATTCCCTCTGGGTGATGTGATTTCAGCATATTTATCCTGACTGTCTCCCCACATGGCCACAGCTGGAAGACTGATCACTTGGGTCTTAATATAACATAAAGTCTTTAATTCACTTCTTACCTCTCACTGCTTACTTCTTACCCTTGAAACCATACAATTTCCCTTTTCCCCAGCCCTGGCTTCCTGTGGTGTGTCCATTCCCAACTTACCTGTCCCTGGAAGAGCTTAGCTGCCTCCCTGTATCTCTGCATGCTCTCTTCATACTCTGGGGAAGCCTTATTCATAATCAAGAGAAGGTGAGTCTGAACCATGGTGTTAAATAAGCCAGCTGCAATCTGGGAAATTAAATGTGTCATAAAAGAAGGATAAGAAAAGGGAGAAGGGGGGGAGGAAGGGAGAAACAGAGACACAGGTAAGAAAGACAGAGAAACGCCAGTGCAAAGAACAGAATAACACACATGCAAATAGCCTCTAAGGTGGCTCTTAAAAATTTCACAATCTTGAATGTGATCAAAACACATTGTATACATGCATAGAATTATCAAATAATAAATACAAATATTTTAACAAGTAAAACCAACTAGATATTGGAGAGATGGCTGAGGGGGTTAAGAGCACATTAATCCTTGTTGTGGAGGACATTGGTTTGGTTCCCAGCACCCATGTGGTGGCTGACAACTGCCTGTAACTCCAGAGCCAGAGCATCTTCTGGCTCAGGCACACATGTGGTGCATATACATTTAATCAAGCACACACACACATACACACACACACACACACACACACATATATATATATAATTTATTGAATGTCATCTGGGGGCTGGAGGGACAGCTTAGTGGTTATGATTATGTCCTATTCTAGCACAGGCCCTAAATTCAGCTTCCAGCACCCATGCTGGGTAGCTCTCACTGGCTTTAGTTACATCTTCGGGGATTTGACACCCTCTCCTGGCTTCTGCAAGCACCTGCTTGCATGTGGTGCATATACCACTGAACAGACAAACAATATGCTCACAGTTAAAAATAATGAAAATACATGTTAAAATTAAGTGCAACCATCTGGATTTTGTGCAACTGCCCTTCACTAAACAACCAAATGGCAGTAGCTAAGAGGACATTGTAGACTTGATGGAAAGGTCAAGGTTAAGCCACAAAATCTATAACTTTTTGTTACACCCTTTACTCTGGGGGGCAGCTAGCCCAGTATGGGGCTGTCAGGGAGCCCTAAGGATGGATTTATAAAGTAATAGTAGCCCTAAGGATGGATTTATACAGCAACAAGAGCCCTAAGGATGGATTTGTATGGCAACAGTGATCCCAAGGATGGATTTGTATGGCAACAGTGACCCCAAGGATGGATTTTATGGCAACGGCAAGAACAAATTGCTGGCTTCCGACTAGCTGCTTTAGCACTGGCAGAGTCTGCAGATGACGTCAGCTTGGCAAATGTCTGCAATCTGTCCAGAGACCCAGATGTCCAGAAACATCCAGCCACTCAGTGTCCACTGGCTGACTCCTAGGAACTGTGTGAGCTTTTCTAGTACAGCTGGTCACAGAGGGACCATAGGCAAGGCAAGCATGGGCAGATGAAGTTATTTCCTAAAGACTTTGACAAGAGGTTCAGGTTACAGTAGGGACACGGGGTGACAAAGAATTGATTGTTATACTGCTCTTTGTAGTTGTAGTAACAGATTCATGCTACTTAAATTCAGAGTGGCGTCCACTCTTGTAAAGCAGGGAGAGAATTCTTGGGAAGAGTGGAGAGATGGGAGCTAAGGAGTCTGAAGGCAGAGCTATCTTTACAGAAGGGATGGGAACATGGAAGCAGCTGCTTTAATTTCAACAGACACAACCTTGTTTGCACAGCAAAGGCACACAGAGTGTGTACATTATATGTACATGCAGGACCAGGGCATGGCTGTGACTTTCTGCCCAGTCTTTCTAGTACAAGTATTTGTACCAACATGGACAAAAAAAAAAAAAAAAAAAAAAAAAAAAAGTAGTTGCCCAGGGACAGCTCTCCAATTGAGAAGGGATTACTTCTGAGATGTGAAAGTCCTAACAGGAATTAAATATACTTCTCTGAAGAGATTGAAGAGATTCTTCCCTGACTTTCCCTTGATATGACTTACTGTCCCTAATCATATGAAATTTGAATAGGATACAAAGTTACTCTGTAAGATGAGAGCTGGGCCAGGCCTAAGAGCTCAGGAAGACGTGTCCTTGTCCCCCATCTAGGACACTATGACACCAGGGTCATGTGTGCAGGGAACACTAGACCATCTTTTATGAGTCCCCAGACAGTTCTGTGGGCACAACAGACAATAGTGAACCTCTAGATAAAGTGAGCTATGATGGTTACTCTTGAGCATCAACTTGGTTGGATTTAGAGCCATCTAGGAGACAGGCTTCTGGTCATATCTGTGAGGGCAATTTCCAGAAGGATTTGAAGAGAGAAGAGGGATTTGAAGGTGGGTAGAGAAAACCAATGGGCTTCAGAACTGGCTAGAATAAAAAGAAAAACAGGGAGAAAGGGATCTGAGGACCAGTATCCATCTCTCTGCTTCTGGGCTATGGATACACTGTGGTTCGCTGTGTCAAATTCCTGCCCACACCATCTCATCATGATGGACGGTGTCCCCTCAAACTGTGAGCCAAAACAAGCCCTCCCTTCCTTAAGCTGCCTTTGTAGCAGCAACAAGAAAAGCAATAAATCAAAACAGCCTTCTTGGTCATGGCTTGAGAAAGGGGATTTAGGGACTGCCTCGGAGCCCATGACCTTTACAGAGCACAGCCAGACTGCAGATTGCAAGGTTTTGATCCAGGCACCTTAACTTTGCATTTAGCTTTGCTGTGTCTGTTTCTCTCTTTGTTGAATAGAGAGGGATGAACAGATTAGTCTTAAAGGGTTAACAAGGATATTAACGTAAACAGGTTGCCAGGTGTGCAGTGAGGGACAGTTACTAACAGTGGAGTGATCATCTCTGCTGTGGGGGCAAGGACCCCCCACGACACAGGAACAAGGAGGATTGGTCAGAGGGGTCAGTGTTTACCATTGGGCTGTACTCTGTCACCCAGCGGAGGCTGTGCATCTGAATGAAACGGCTCAACTTGGCGGCATCTAAGCTTTCAATGTCTGCAGCATCCAAATGCAGTTGTCCATTATCAACCTGGGGGAGAGAAATAAGACACAATGGGATTTGACTGTAAGGCTGTGTGTGAAAGGCATTGAACACAGCTCCAAAGACAGGAAGGAAGTTTCCTACCCTCAGGGACACTTTTCTTTACTTGCCTTTTAAGGGCTATTTTTAAGTGATATAATCACTGATATATTGAATTATGCATTTTCCATCAGTGCGGCTGTTCTGAATTCCATTTTCTTAACCTCTGGCTTACTTTTCATTTAGTTACTTCCCAATATTCCTTTGCCCCCACTTTGGTTGGGAAGTTGCTCAAGCTTTATTTATCCCTTTAAAGACTGCCATTATGTAACACATAGCTTTCAAGTTACCAGAATCTAATATTAATTGGCAGTTACACCTCCCTGTTGAACATTAGAATCTACGCACAAAGATTAAAATAATAATAATAAACCAAGCAACTTAAAAGATTGTCTAAGCAAATTAAACTTATGAAGTAATAAACACCAAACTATAGAAAACATACTTCTAAATTAAAATTTTAGGGGGTAAACTCTCCTCAAACCACTGGATACTTTAAAATGTGAAGAACAGGCTATCAATATAGCTCAGTGGTAGAGTGCTTGCTTGCTTAGTATGTGTGAGTTCCTAGGTTCAATTCCCAGCAACAAACACATAGAAGTGGGATTGGAGATGTGTAGAACAGTTGGTAGAAGACTTGCCCAGGTTGCAGGAAGTCCCAGGTCTCATCTTCAGCACTACATGAGATAGACATGTTGGTTACTGTAACCCCAGCATTCTGGAAGGAGAGGCAGGAGGATCAGAAACTCAAGGTACCTCTGCTGCACAGAGTCTGAAGTGGATGACAGATGGGTGAAGGCACTTGGTACACACAGTTGTGCTAAAATCCAAGATGCTCACTAGGAACATTGAAAAAAAGATGTATAGACAATAGAAAAAGTCTCCGTGGACCTTGTTCAGCTTTATATTACCAATATTCTTACCAATAAGTCAAAGACTGCTATGGTAGTTCATGTCTTTGATCCCAGCATGTAGGAAGACCAGGCCTGGAGTTTGAGGCAGCCTGGGCTACATGGAAGTTCTAGGCCTTCCTGGGCAATAGAACAAGAACTTCTCTCAGACAAACACTACAAAAAGAGGGCGTTAGAAAGTATGTAAGAGAACTTGCTGCTCTTTCAGAGGGTCTGAATTCAGTTCTCAGTACCCAAGGTTGGGTGACCCCCCCCCAACAGTTTATAAAACCAGCTCGAGGGGCATCGGGACCCTCTGGGCTTTGCCAGCACCTGTTCTCACAGACACACATCCAGACACAGACACAGGGACCTATTTACAGAGACAGACAGACAGACAGACAGACACACACACACACACAGAGGTGAGGTGGAGCAGGGAGAGGTAAGGAGAGGGAGGAGGGGGAGGCAGGGAGGGAGAGAGATGTTCTCTTGAATCATCTCTGCTGCTTAAGGCGGGCTTGCCAGCTGGCAGAATCTCTCACTTAGGACTTTGCTATTGCAACCACTCAAATCATCATCATAATCAAAGCTCTCTTAATACTGAGTATGTCCAAATGCCTGAAGATTATTTTTCTAGGACATAGAGGCCTGGCTCCTGTGTGCAGCTGGCCCGGGGAGCTGTGGGCCAGGAGGCCCCGCCCTCCTGCCTGGTTTCCAAGCAGTTCTTCAGGGTTCCCAGAATTGGAGAACTGGAAGCGCCAAGAACTCCAGGTGGATTTCTGAACTCAGGAATGCAGAGGAAGGACAGAGGGTGGGCAGCGGGGATAAAGCTCCTGCCCTGGGCAGTTTCAGGAGCACTTCAATAAGCTGCCCCCTCCCCTGCAGGCACTCCAATTCTTCCAAGGAAACAGACCCGATTATTTCATTAGTTCCTAAACTAATAAACTCTGGAGCGTTCGCGTGTAGGGTTCCTGGAGGCAACATTTGAACAGGAAGTCTGCTTTCTGCCAAAGGAATCATTTGTATAATGCACTGGAGAGAAAGCTCTATCCTAGAACAAGACTTTTGGAACGTTTTTAAAACATCTATTTTGCGAGTGTTTGGTAGGAATTTTACTTAAGTTATCCCGCCCCCAGGACAGAGACTCTGAAAGCAGAAAAGAGCAGGCTGGGAGGGCTATGAGAGATTGTGTTTTGGACACTATGTGCATGCCCAGACCCCAGCACGTTCTACTTTTTGCATTCCTGTGAGCTCTGTCACAAACACTTCAGAAAACTGCATTAAAACTCATCTTAGTTTGTTTATGTTCTTTCTTGTCTTCTTTATTTCAGACAGTGTTTCATGGTGTGAGGCTCATTAATGGTTTTCTGTGTAGCCAGAGATGAATCTGAACCCTTGATCCTCTCTGGGATAACAGGTGTGCGCCACCATGCCCTGTTCATCTTAGTTTATACTACGGCTATAGCATTTTATGACAGTCCAGTCACAAAGTAACTTGCATGGTACTGAGAAACGATTTGTTAAAGAATTCCCTCATGCCTCTGATTTTATGTATGTATATACACACATAATATATATTATAAAAGTGCTGCTCAGCTGCCTTGTATTCACACACACATATTATATATATTTGTTTTGAGACAGTGTCTTCTGTAGCCAAGGATGGCTTTAAATTTGCCACGTGGCCAAAGATGACCTTCAACTCGGGTTCCTCCTGTCAGTCTCCTAAGGGGCTGGATTGTAGGTGTGCCCCACCACACCCACCGACGCACATACTTTACAAAAGTGTTTTGATACTTTGACATATATTACTTCTCTCATTTATTAGTTTATTTTTATAGTCATTTCTTCTGACTAACCTGTGTCTGGTAAGGTAGATCTCATAGTAAGCATTCAAAAAGAACAGTTCAAGGGACAAGACTGACATTTCTGTGATCCCTTGGATCAGAGTCGGGCTAACTTTATTTCTTAAAATAGAAGTGAATAAGAAAATCCAAGGTAGTACAAAGAGTTGACTAATAGGGCAGGCTCGTGGCTCACTAACCGCAGAGACTGGATCCCTGTGAGGGTTAGGTCTGTACAGGGTCTGTACAGACACAGGGTCTCCATGCTGTCACACTCTCAGACAGGCTGAGCCCTTGACAGCCTCTCTGTCACACACAACTCCCTATTATTCCCAGACTTTGCTGAAGTGCTTCCTGGAACCTTTCCTGGAAGTCAGCCCTCTCTAGTTTGGGAGAGGAAGTTCCTCTCTTCCTTTGCTTTCTGCTGCTGTGGTAAAGACGATGGCCAAAAGCAACCTGGGAAGGAATGCCAAGGCAGGAACCTGGAGGCAGGAACTGAATTGGAGGCTGTGGAGAAATGCTGCCTGCAGCTTGCTCTTGCTGGTTTCTGTTTCTGCTTCCTGCCTTAAGTTCCCGCCTTGGCGTCCCTCAGTAATGAACTGTGACTTAAGCCTCAGACTGTGGCTGGTAATGGTCTTTATCACAGGCACAGAAACTTGTGAGACAGATATGGATACCAGAGTAGACAGTCGCTGCGGCAGATAGAACACTGCCCTTATTAAGGGGAGGGCTGTGGAGGATTTTTGGAACTTTGGGCGGGAAAAGCCAAGTGTTCAGAACTTAATAAACTATTTTGTGGGAGGTTGGAAGAGAATCGTGAGAACAGTGCAGATGTTGGAGGCCTGGCTTGTAAAGTTTCGAGACTCGTTCTTCAAAGACTCTTTTGAGGCTATTCACACGATATTTTAAATCGTGACTAGGTACAGCTGCTCAGCTGGTGCTGGGAATCAGCTGTGGTCAATAAGACACCAGCATCGCTGAGGTGAAATTTCCTGGAAGCACTTCCTCATGGGTGGACTTCACAGCACGCAGAATCATCCCACAGAGACTGTGGGTCATCCTCTAGGAGACTGAATCTCATGTCTGCTGCTGAACTTGGTATGTTGTAAACATCTTTCACATGTTGCTGGTTTGGGTAGCATGAAGGGGTGGTGGGAAGCAATGGGGGCTTGGCAATGTGGGACAAGGTTAAAGTCCCCGAAGACAGGCCAGGAGAGGCTGTATAGGCAGAGTTTTATTGCCGTGAAGAGAAACCACACCCATGGCAACTCTTACAAAGGATAACATTTAATTGGGGCTGTCTTACAGTTTCAGAGGTTTATTCTATTATCATTATGGCAGGAAGTATGGCGGCGTGGCGGCAGACACGTGCTGGAGAAGGGGCTGAGATTTCTACATCCAGCAGAAAGAGAATGCCACACTAGGTGTGGGTTGAGCATCTGAGGCCTTGGAGATCACACCCAGTGACACACTTCTTCCAAGAAGGTCACACCTCCTAATAGCGCCACTCCCTATGGGCCTGTTGGGGCCATTTTTATTCAGACCGCCATGGAGGCCGCTGGTGAAGACTCAGTCTCAGCTGCAGTGGAGAGTCCAGGATGGGATGCCGGGACTGTGTGGTGACTGCTAATACAGTGGCAGGTGTGGAGTGGAGCCAGTTTGTGCCTCTTGGACAAGCTACACGTGCTATGACCAATAGAGCTTGAGTGAACCGGAGCTTCCCAAGACCTCCAGAGCCCCAGAGATTGTGAATCCCAGATACCAGACAGTGAGTTACCGATATTGTTGAAGTTTGGTTTTGCTTTGATTTCATTGTGGCTATGTCCTGGTTCTTAGCTCTTGGAGTTAAAAAAAAATCTTTTAAAATTATTATTTACAGGAGCCCATAGACTTTGGAGTATTAGAGGGACCTTGCTCATTCTAGAGAGATTTTGAACTTTTAAAGAGACTTTGAATATTTTAAAGAGACTAAACTTTGGAAGGGTTTGGAATTTTAAAGACGGGGACTTTTAAAGTTATTTATGCCTTATGTTGTGATATTAATATGAGATTTTGTGAATTCACAAGAAACAAAGGCAACAGTTGGAGAGTGATGGATTTGTGTGTCAAGCTGATAAGGAGTCAATTGTGCTGGCTAGTGTTTGTCAACGGACACAAGCTAGACTCAATTGGAGAGATGGCTCTTAAGATTGGCATTTTCTTGATTAATGATTGATGTGGGAGGGCCCAGCCCATGGTAGGTGGTGCCTCCTCAGGCTGGTGGGCTGAGTTACATGAGAAAGCAGGCTAAGAAAGCCATGGAGAACAAGCTAGTAGGCATCATTCCACTATGGCTTCTGCTTCAGCTCCTTCCTCCAGGTTCCTGCCTTGAGCCTGCCCTGACTTCTCTCAGTGATAGAGGGCAACCTTGGAATTATAAGAAGAAATAAACCCTTGCCTCCCCAAGTTACTTTTGTTCATTGTGTTTCATCATAGCAGTAGAAACCCCAACAGTCCCCAAACACAGCTTTTGCTGCCTTGATAATAATGAGTCAGTATATTTTTACTTATTATTTCTTCTTATCTCTAAATATATTCTTACTGTTACAAATGAAGGAACTCTAAATTCTTAAATTTTGCTACCAAACTATATAGTCCCTAGATCCTATATTAAATTCTAGATTAAATTCTGAGATATCATTCTGGGATTTGACTAATTAACACCAGGGGCTTAGGGAAGTGGTTTGGGATAAAGTTTTTGAGATGTAGACTTCAGAATGAGGAACATTAAGTAAATACAACCTGGCATAAAGATAGAGATTTTCTTCGGGGGCTGGAGAAATGGTCAGTCACTAAGAATGCATGGGGCTGTTGAAGAGGACCTGAATTCAGATCTCAGCACCCACATCAGGGAGCTCATAACTGCCTACACTTCCAGCTCCAGCAGATCTGACCCAAGAGGACACACAAATACACACAGACACACAGAGATGCAGGCATAAATGTAAAAGAATCATCACATTCGTTTAAAAAAGCATTTCCTTTAGTGCCTTCGAGAGTCATTGCAGTGCAGTAGGAAGGAGAGGCCGAGCATGGAACTGGGCAGCACTTGACAGCTGTGAAACTTTGGAGAGTTGGTTCCTTCTACTAGAACTTTTCTTGTTGAAAATTCAAGAAGAATATTTCGTTTCTTTTCTTTTTTGGGATTATTTTAAAGATAGGTTTCTCTGTGTAGCTCTGGTTGTCCCAGAACTCACTTTGTAGACCAGGCTGACCACTAACTCACAGAAATCCTCCTGCCTCTGCCTCCCAAGTGCTGGGATTAAAGGTGTGCACCACCACTGCCCCGCAGGAAAATATTCTTTTCATCATATTTTGTGAGAATTATAAAACTGCTTATCATAGATTAGGTACACACAGACACAATCCTACACACATAGACACATATACATATAGGCAGGTGGACAGACAGACAGACAGACACACACACACACACACACACACAAACCCGCAAATAATAAAATGTGGACCTAAGTTGTAAGAATGTCCTGTGAAGTTTTCAATAGGCTCATGTTTGCCAATATAAAATAAAATGGTTCCAGTCTTTCTTTATGAAGGTTATTCTGAACTCCTGAACAATAACCCTATTAAGATATGTACCAAAGTTTGAAAATGTAACCAAGAGACTGTGTTTATGTAACACTGGCCTGAAAACTCTCCAACCTTTCCCGACCCTGCCAACAGAGTGGCACAAAACCAGCTTGTTTGTTTTCTGGCATGGCGCATAAAGTTTGCCTACCGACGTCCCGAGGCTTTGCTCAGAGTAGGACTGTCACTAGTGGCCCACGTGAGACAGATGCTGAGGAGGAGTCTTAGAAGAGACAGCAACAGGGCTTTGTAAAGAACACAATGTAAGCAGAGATCACACTGCTTTTTTTGGGGGGGGGCTGGCTTTGAACTCCTGGTCCTCCTGCCTGAGTGCTGGGATCACAGGGCTGCATCCCCAAGCCTGGCAGATCGCCCCTCCTTTCATGTCTATCGTGGCTTCTCCACTGCAGCCCCCTTCTATCGCATTGAAAACATGTGTGTATGGTTATTCTGACTACATGTATGTGCACCGCATGTGTGCCTTGTGTCTGAGTAGGTCAGAAGAAGGAGTCAGATCCCTGGACCTGTAGTTGAGAGCTGCCAAATGGATGCTGGGGATCAGGCCTTGGCCCTCTGCAAGAGCATGCAGTGCTCTTAACCTTACCTGGGCCACCTCTTCATCCCATGCACTCTTGATAAATTCCACATAGTCCATTTTGCTGAGCGAGCAAGAGTTTTTGCTTCTTACATCTCTCTGCCCAGTAATCCATCTTATTCTTTGTTTCCAAAATAATCTTGCTAAATCTGGTTTCCATCCATGTCACTCTCCTGATCCAAAGGCTTTGGGGAGCTTTGTAGTGCCAATCAAATTAAGTACGAACCCAGGACACCGGTACTGTGGTTTTAGCACAAATATGTTCTAATAAAACTTCCCTGTCTTATTATGCCCCTTTTCCTGTAGCATGTACCTTGGGATCCAGTCAAGTCGGCATCACTGAATCCTAACTACATTCAGTTTTCCTCCTTTGGCCACAATTCCCCATTAGAATGCCCAGCTTCAACATATACTTCCCATTCAGTTGTCTCTATGTATTATTTTTCTAAATTTCCACACCATTTTCAATCCCATAACACTTTACTTATAGTGATATTTTCTGATTTTTTTTCTTATTTTGAGACAGAGTTTCATTATGTAGCTCTGGCTGTCCTGGAACTCACTGTGTAGACCAGGCTGGCCTCCAACTCACAGATGCCTTCCTGTCTTTGCTTCCCTAGTGCTGGGATTAAGGGTGTTTTCTCCATCTTCCAGCTCTATACTGATGGTTTCTATTAGTATATGGTTTCTATTAGTATAGTTTCTATTAGTATATTGGTTATAATTTTTGCTACATTTTAAGTTCTGTGAGAACAGAGAGTATGTATATGATCAGACGTTTTATTTTATAGAGGGAAGAACTGAAGGGAATAAACTCTAAGTGGCTCACTCACCCTCTCTGCCTACTGGGACGCCTAGCAGATCCATCAGTGCCAAATCGTGGCTCTCCACTCCTGTTCTCTGTACACCACCCAGCACCTGCTTTCTAGACTGAATTGAGTCATCATCTGTGTCGGCAATGTCCCTCAACTTAGCACCATCAATAGTGCTAAAAACACAGAGTCCTTTCCCGCCCCACAAGAAAAACCTGGGAGAAGGCTGGAACTGCCCACCCAGCTTACCAGTCGGAAGAGGCAGATGCTGTTTCTGGTGATGTTGTAGTGGGCCAGAACCTCAGAACTGTTGCTGATTCCAAATGATATGTCACGGAACTGTTGTGCCATGCTGCGGAATATGGACACTATCGGTATTTCTAAGTCCTAAAAACAAAAGCAAAGAATAACAAGCAGAGAGAGAGAGAGAGAGAGAGAGAGAGAGAGAGAGAGAGAGAGAGAGAGAGAAAGAGAAGGAGAGAAACCCACAGGTAATTTTTGGGGAGACAAGACATGGGGAAAAATGCTCATGCTAGAAGTTTTGATTTAGTCTAGTAAAACAAACTTTATCCTTACACATGCATGCTATATTTGTAGTGGCATCTTTGAGTTTCCCCAGGCTGTGTGAGTTTATAGGTTATTATGAAAATTGTGTCTAAACCTGTGGTTTTTGTGTGGCCTTATCATACAGCCTGAATTATTCTTGTAGCTGATGAAAGCCTTGATGTCCAGAGGTCTGTGAAGTTGGGCTGTACAGCTGCCCATATACCCTACGGAGGCAAATGTTTTTGGAACAATTTGTGTAGGGACAAGGCGATGCAAAATTAAGGAAACAGGTGCTTAGTGTGGTCACTGGACATGTGCAGGGGGCCGAGAATCAGGTCCCTCCTTCCAAGCACCCTTCAGTTTGTGCAAGAAGGAACTTACTGGTCCATGCATCTACGGCATCTCACTCCTGCACTTAGGGAGACGGGAAGCCACTCATCAGTGATGGCAGCTGTCCTGCAGACACTGGCACTGTCTCCTGAGCTGTGTTAGGATGCTTGTCCACAGATGCTCCAGGCAGTCTGCCTATTCTCCTGCATCCCACTGAGTTAAAGGGCAAGGGCAAGGGCAAGGGAAGATTGCTAACCTTGTATCTGGGATCAACAAGACGGAGCTGACAACTTGCTCTTTTGAAAAGAAGAGGGTTTTTCATTTAGAAGCGGTGGATATTTGTTCACTGGCTCGCTGGTTTGCAATCTGAGCTTTTGAATAGAACTCTAGGACTCAATGATGGCATCTGGTGGCTATTTATGTTACTGCACCCTTCCGGTGAATTGGAATCAAGGAATGGAAGCGTACAGGAAGGTCTGAGGATTGCCAGGTGCTATTAGGAGAGAGAGAGAGAGAGAGAGAGAGAGAGAGAGAGAGAGAGAGAGAGAGAGAGAGACAGAGAGAGACAGAGAGAGAGGGAGGGAGGGAGGGAGGGAGGGAGGGAGGGAGGGAGAGAGAGAGAGAGAGGGGGGCTGGAATGAGACCCCTCCTTTTTATGGCTGTCTGCATTACCCAAGAGCCAATACGGAAGATGTCAGCGATCACTTCACTGTCCTCAGTGTTCATAGAGGGTAAGAAAGACCAATGAGGGTCTACCTATTTGGTTTAACGCAGCCCGTGTTTCCAGGTCACAAAAGATAATTGTAGCCTATCTTTTTTGGCTAGTCCCACTGTGGCATTTTCCCATTTTCTCACTATCCAGGAGGCTGAGGCATGGGGACTGTGGGTTTGAGGAAAGCATGTCGTCGTAGAGAGTTCAAGGCTAGCCTGAGTTATGAGACCTTCTCAGAAATACACAATAAAAATAAGTTTATAATGCGCATCTGCGTTTACTTCTGCTATTGATGGAGCACCACGGGACAAGCTGAGGCTATTTAGGACAACGGTAAGGCATGGTAAGGCATGGTGGAAACTGACTTCCTGCAGACACCCACTTTCCTCCAAAGTGTCCACAGATAAGGAGGCACACCACAGAACTCAGAGACTCTGAAGTAGGTTCAAGGAGACCTGGTGTGGAGGGCAGACTGTTTTGAAATGAAGGGGTCTCGGAGGACAAGCTGAAAGCAGTCTGAGCGTTCTTGCTTCCAAATCAATGCACTAGCCCAGCAGGCCACTGTCATGGCTACCCTAAAGCAGAACATGCCTGACCACAGGTAGAGCAGGTAGGGTGTGTGCACATACCTGGAAGAACCCTATGATGGCCACTTCAGCAGCCTTGATGAGCTCCTCGGTAGCTGGGATGTCTGTGAGCCATATGGGTTCCTGGGTAGTGCTAAGACCGTCTGCAGTAAGAGGGGTGGAGATGCCAGGCAACACACATCTTTACTCAGAAACTTCTGGAACATTTTCCAGGTTTGAGTGAAAATACCCAGAATAGTTCCATATTCCCCTCTCTTCTCCTATGACATGCTTTCTATGGCAACCCAATTGTCTCCCCCCCCCTTTTTTTTTTTTTTTTACCTGCGGCTTCTTCAACATCTGCTGCAACTTCTGGGGCCAGCCCACACATGAGGATAAATGAAAGGACTAGGCATCCAGACCTGGAGATTTTCATTGCTCTTCTCTTGTTCTAACCCTAGATGTGGAGTTTGGGGATTCCGATCCAGGACAGCCTGATGTAGTGAAATGGCTGTGGGTTGTTCGTGCTCTGGGAATTTCACAGCTGGGGAACCTTCACCTTCTGTGATAAATGGCTCAAAGTGGCAGGGCTTTGGAGCACTTCCAACCAGGAGAAAGACAGGCTCGTTCACTTAAATAATAAAAGTACATACGGACCCTTGCCTCTTATTGATGTAGGTATTAGGCTGCAAATTCAAATGACAGCTGATCCAGCTCACACTGTTGCTGGGAGAGGGGAACACGAACATCGATGATTTAAATATGAAACAGAGAGGGGTGAGACATGGAAAAATCCACAGGCTGTTGTGAGAGAGATGAAAGACACTGAGGTAGTGTAGGGTTTGATGAAGGAAGTCTGCCTGGGAGAATATGGTTGTCCAGACATCAGAATGTGAAAAGGACACATAATTGCTTTTATATGCCAAGGTTGATATTATTAAGTGACATAAGCAGTTGAAAGGAAGGAAGGATTTATTGCGGTTCCCAGTTTGAGGGTACAGCTGGTCATGGCGAGGAAGACATGTTGATCAGAGTGCGAGACAGCTGGTCACACGCATCTGCAGTCGGGAAGCAGAGATGGCACTCAGCTCACTCTCTCCATTTTATTCACCATGGGTAGGGTGAGTCTTCCCACTTCAATGAGCCAGCTCTAGAAGCTCCCTCACAGACAGGCCTAGGGGCCTTTCTCCATGGTGGCTCTAGAGTCTGCCAGGCTGACACTCAATACTGACAAGAGACCTCATGGAAAGAACTAACATCTAGACATGAAAATAGAAGGTGAGGGAACAGTAGTCACGAAGAATTCCAGAAAGGAAGAGAATGGTAGATGTCGAGGTCGTCTTGCAATAGGCCTTTGCATGATACACTAAACTAGCATAGATGCTTCCCTTCATTCGGTAGATGTTGAGAACCCAAGGAAGAGTTCTAAGCAGGAGCCAGAGTTTCATCTGGCCCACAAATCAAGGCTGAGATGAGAGTTCTACAGGTAGTGGGTGTACATCTCAATCTTAAACGAAGGCCCCGTAAGGAAATACCGTACAGTGAATGAAATGGAGAACGTCCACTCTCTGTATTACTGACACCCACTGACCATTGTATTGTAACAACCTGTTGGCAAGGATACGACATCCCCTGTACCGTGGATCTCACCCATGCTGCCATCCATAAGCTGACTCAGAGTGGAGCCTTCTGGTACCATATTTGTTTGAAGGAGAAAGGAAGGGAACAATGAGATTCTCAGTCACACACACAGTTATTTATTCTTTTCCAAAAGAAGAACCCCCGCTGGCAAGGAGCGTGACAGGGAATCCCATCAGTGATGGCTTGCCCATTTCCTGGCCTCCAGTACTCCAATCAGAAGAAGGGGGGGGGGTGACGCTAAATGACATGGAGAACTTTGGAACTCTGGCCCTGCTGGGGGGGGGGGAAGTTTAAAGGAACACGCAGGGTTAAAGCCTAGGGTTTAAGAGATGAGGTGAGATAAAAGACATCAATGAGGAGTGTGTGTGTGTGTGTGTGTGTGTGTGTGTGTGTGTGTGTGTGTGTGTGTGAGTAGAGCGGATCCAGCTGTGAACAGGGAGGGAGGAGGGAGAACATGATTGGCATGGCTGGGAGGATTCTTCTGGTGGGAATGTAGGGGAGGAATGGACAGATGCACTCATTCTGTCCAATCCTTCTTAATGGCCAGGTTCCATTCCCAGGTGAGGTGATCCTGCTTGTCGTCATCCGTGAAGAAGGACTTGTTGTGGTAAGTACCTCGGGCCAACATGCCTTTGGGGGCCTCCTCTACTGGAGTGAGGAACTCATATTCCTCTGGACGGGGCCCGTAGCTGCCAACCATGAACGTAGCTTTATCCACTAGGAAGAAAGGATGGTACATTAGCGTAAGACCCTGGCATAGGAACAGCATATTAAACATGGGAGAGCCCTGAGTGCAGCTTACATGGGTGGAAACCCAGAGCAACAGTGCCACACCTGGCCAAATATCAGTTTTCTCTGGGGATTTTTTTCTTATTTATTTATGTGTAACTAAGGCCGGTGCACATGATTCCACTTCCAGCACCAGGGAACAAGAGGAGGCACTTAAGAGCAGGTTTGTCTGCATGCACAGGAGACCTTGTCTCAAATTCCAGATAAACCCCTGAGGCAGATATATTAAGGCATGTTAAAAACCCAAGCTCCTTTTAAAAAAAAAATGCAATTTACTCTGCTATCCCCCATAATTGGGGCCAAGGTTCAGTAACCTGTGGATGCCAAAACTTCAGTCATTAAAAAAAAACAACCAAACAAAAATGATCAGAGTAGATTCTGATTATTAAGCCAGAATATTAGTGACTTAAACCAGTGGGGTGGAAGCCTCCTTACAGAGACATAGCAGATTGCACCATTAAAAATGGACAGACAGATGTCAGGCCTCAGTCTTGCTGGTAGTCCCAGCTCGACAGCACTTGGGCCCCCCCTCTCTGTCTGTCTGTCTCCTCCCTCTCTCTCTCTCTCCCTCTCTGTCTGTCTCGTTCTCTATATAATGGACATTAAGGACCCCTTGTCTAAAATCCCTCTAAGAATATCTTAGTTGGAGGGGTTACTGTCACATCTGGTGTTCAGACTCTGTAGCGTTTAGGAATTCAGATGCTAGCGGGGAGGGGCAATCAGCAAGTGGGCCAAAGTTTATACGTGGAGAAGTGGGACAGTGACGAGAGTCAACCGATCTTACTTTAGGAGGGCTCCTGGGTGTGGATTCAGAGCTCAGAGCAGCTGGAGTAAGAAGTTTAAATGGCAGCGAGTGGCTGTGAGGTAGGGTACAGCTGGCCTTTTCACAGCTGCACCTTGGAGGCTCAGCTGCACACAAGCTACGGGCTGCTGGCTGCAGTGAGTCAGTACAGCCTCTGGCCTCAAAGGAAATAGGAAATTGAGCTGCATTTTCCGAGACCAGGCACTAGCAAGGCTGGGCAGTGTTTCTCAGCTCCACAGTCTTCCCTGGAATTTGATAGACTGGTTTTTATGTCCTGAAGTCATATCAAATAAGAATTTCTCCCGGCTCCTTTATTGACTTGGGGGACTGGGATATGTTATCTTGGGCCCATGCCTGGTGCTGAAAGTAAAACGGGTCAGGGAGGAGTGTGGATGTGTCTGGGTTATGTTCCTGCCCAAGGGATGTCCAGAATGACAGAAGAGGGTATAGGATTCTATATTTCAATTACACTGCCTTTTCTCAGCACAAGAAAGAAATGTTTTCCTATTTCTTTGTTAAGAGATCAAACCCTACTTTGCCCCTCCTCCCAGGGTACCCCTGAGACTCACCCCAACACACTGCTGCTCTGCCCCTCCTCCCTGTGGAAGCCATGATGCTCACCCCAGCCCACAGTCCTTGGGCAGTCTTTGTCTTTCTGTCACATTTTTATATTGTAGACTGCTTATGTTTTTGAATATTTGGTGTGAGTGTGAGTGTGACACACACACACATACACACACACACACACACATACACACACACCCACACCCACACACACACACACACACACAGAGAGAGAGAGAGAGAGAGAGAGAGAGAGAGAGAGAGAGAGAGAGAGAGCAGAATAACACATAGGTGTTCTTCCCAGGTAATATCCACCTTGCTACCTTGCCTTTTTTGAAACGGGGCCTTCTCCTCAGTCTGGAACTTACCAATTAATCTATGTTGGCTACCCAGGGGTGCCCAGGGACCCTTCCCCCCCCCCCCGTCTCTGCCTTTCTAGTCTGGGGTTACAGATGCATGTCATCATACTGCTTGCTTCTGGGGGTTCTGGGGCCCCAAACTTGGGTCTTCATGTAAGAACTTTACTGACCATGCTCTCCCAATCCTTCTCTTGTGATGACTGCTTTCTGATCTTTGCTTTACTTTGTCTTGGTTACCTTCCCCATGTATGAATGAGTAAGAGCCTTGAATTTCAGAGTCTGAATGGTGAAGGTCAGTGCTTTGCCTTATCTGGACCAGGCATCCTGAATGCTGGTCTCCATGGCTACGTCTGCTCTACCTGTGTATCTTTTCCTAGAGCAGGCATGCCATGTGCCGGTACCTTTCATCCAGCTCTTGTAAGCTTAGACCCAAAGGTTGTTCAAACCTGGGGCAGAGATATCAGCGAGAAGTTTGGGACAATCTTACCTTTCATTCCAGTCCGGTACGTGTGCTGAACATACTTCAGGCCCGACACAATATCCTTGTTCACCTGTAGGTGAGAAGCCCCCACACAATTCAGATTAAAGACTCTTCCAGATTTTTTTCATTTTAATCTTTCCTGCCCATCCCATCTAGCTAAATAGATTGAGTGCTACTGTCATAACTTAGTATGTTCCTGTCAGGAACTGGAGAGGCCCAGTCATAAGAATTACTGTTGCTAGTGCAGGGTTAATCGTTGGCTATTGTAATATTTCTCCATTTAATTGCTTCTGGGTAGGGTGTTAATTAAAACATTGTCTCAATATTCTTCACCATATTTTTCCTTCTTTAGTGGCTTGGGCAATACTTTCTAGCTCTCTCTCCTAAATGCTATTAGCAAAAACACTGCCCCGTCTCAGAGAAGGTTATAAAAATACCAATGGAAAATTTTATGTAAGTCTGTGGACACCATATCCCCAGAAACGATCCACCTCGCCTATGAAAAACAAACAGGAGGAAAAAGTGGTAATGGAAAGTCAGGCCAGAGAGAGGGCTGTATGCCTGAGATCAGAATCTAGAGGTAAGGTTATGGTCACACCAAAACACCCTTTCCCATAAATAATGGATGAAGCCGTCTGGTACCCAATATGCACATTCAGGTCCTTTCACCATTGGACATTATCTAAGACACTGCAACTACCCCTGGGTGCTCCATGAAAATCCACTGGGATGGAATGGAGTTACAGGCAGCCTAGCATTTGTGTTCCATGACTCGCTGTACCTGAGCCTCAATTGGGCTGTTGTGAATTTTACACAGTGTCCATGTCTATATAAACAAGTTAAAGAGGACATTGAGTCATGAGCTGAAGGGCTTGGAGAACTTACACCAGCAGAAAAACTAAAGCACCTTCAGTAATTTTGTCAATAATTTTGTCTCTCTGTACATTTGATGGGTGCAATAGTTAAAACCAAATGACTAGGGCTGTCCTTCATTCTTCTGATGGGGAAACAGACAAACAGTGAACAATGTCATCTTTGACACTAAACTGTCCAGAGTCTGAATGGTGAACCAAAAGCATCTAGAATTTATTGGAGAGACAATGATAAAGTGAAACCCACATTTCCCAATTACTCCTACTCTCACATCCAGCTCATAGGAAAGGGAGTAATGACTGTGTCTTTCTGCAGGTCTTCAGCCTGACTCTTAGGCCTAGCGGGCCATGTATCCAGTTCAGGTGGGAAGAGGCCAAACAGGGAAAGGCAGGAACGAGAATCCCAAATAAGGCATTTGCTGCATGAGCAGTGCTCCACAGAGGAACCACTTCGTACAAACACATTTGGGGCAGAAAAAAAGATGAATATTTGCATAATATCTTCTTCTGCCCACACCTCCTCTCCACTGGATCTCCCAATCCCCCAAGCAAGAAGTTTTGGTGACAGGAATGTCACTGAAGGTTGCGGAAGTCATATACTTCATGTCCTTAAGAGGCAGAGTGTGGGAGTGGGGACCCAAAGACTCACCCTAGGCCAGGGTTCTAGGGTGTTGTCAACTTCAGAGCAAGTAAAAGAACATGGAGAGAAACAGAACCCTAGAGGGCTGTAGGTAACTGGTATGGTAAATGCAGTTCCATTGAATGTTTGCCATGAAACGTCAGTAAAGATTTAAATTGCTTTTTAATTACTCTTTACTGTGAGCTTGGTTCCTTCTACCTGTAACTGGGACAAGCTAAGGCTGATTCACCTTTACTTGGGTTACAGATAGAGGAGTGGTCCTAATCTTGATGGAGACCACGTCAAACCACACAAGTGGATTGGACTTGAAGGTCCCTCTGTGCCTTGACACACAACTCTGACAGCTCTAGGCTCGCCTATGTTCACTGACCTTCCTTCATCTTCTTATTCAGTCTAAGTCTACTGGTTGAATTTCCTTTGTGAACCCAATTTTTCCAAACTGACAGCACAGTAGCTCAAATGATTAAATACCGGACGGATGGGACGCTGTCCTATGAGCTTTAGGTATGAGGCTTTCCCAGTAACCCAGGGGTTCTAGCAACAACCAGAATGGCAGGAAGCAATGTCATCCATAGTTCAAGTGATGGTTGTGTAGGTGACAACAGATATTTACAGGATGACAAGACTTCAGACATTTTAGCATGTGGTAGAGAGTGGCTGTCTAGCCACCCTGAATCATATCCTACACCCAGGAGAGAGGTGGGCCCCGTGTGCAAACAGAGAGCAGATGGCATCTCCCCTGCTGGAGCCCTGGGAAACACAACTGAGTGGGGATGAGTGGCAGCCAAAGCCAACAAACCCTGAAACGCAAAAACAGTGCGCCTCTCACTTGTTTGCTTTCACAGCCCAGGTTATTTTTCTGGAACAAACTGTAGTTACTCACTGGGATGTATGTCTACTCATGAGCGGTGAGCTTACTCCTTACTGAGTTTTGCTAGATTATCTGCTCATATGCTTCGCAAATGCCACCGAGATTCCCAGCCACTCTAGAGACCATGGCTCCTGGATCTGGATGTTAACTGAGCAGGAGTATCCGCTTTTCCTTCTCATTGAATCATTTCTTTGTAATATATATCCATACAGACCTACCATTTACAAAGCCGTGTGAAATAGTGGAAGGAAGGAAGGAAGGGACACACAATTTTAGCCTGGCCTGGGTTGCTCGGGTTGTGTAAGAAGGAAATGGCACAATACTCGGTATTGTGTGCCTAGTGTCCGGGTTTCTGAGAGACTGTGATATGGACGGTGATGCTGAGCATCCTGGCTGGAGAAAGGTTCGGGAAGCAAGGGTGCATCTCCCCCTGGAAGAGCTCAGCAAACATAGGGTGCATCTCCCCCTGGAAGAGCTCAGCAAACATAGGGTGCATCTCCCCCTGGAAGAGCTCAGCAAACAGGTTGTTTCAGGCCCGAGCTGGGGAAGGGAGGACAGCAACAGCCAGCACCGAAACCAATAGTGGCCACCACAGCGTATGAACACAATCTTGCAAGAAATGGGTCATAGCCCAGTTAAGAGCACATGTAGGAGATACTTACTTTAAAGTTAATTTTGACCCTATATTCAATACCTTCCTTTAGCACAAATGTGTCCTTTTTGAGGGCTTCGAGGTCACCTGGAGAAGAACATTTAGAAAGTTAACATCCCCAGGGGCTGCTAAATAAAGAATGAAATCCAAGGCTCAAAGCCTTCTGCTGGGCTGCCCAATTCATAAGGATCTTAATTCAGAGAGCATGTGGGATTAGTGTTCACACACGCACACACACACACACACACACACACACACACACACACGTCCCTATACTGCCTGCAATCTTATAGTTCAGTTATTTAAAAACACAAAAACAAAACAGTTATACAGTAAAGGGTTTTCCTACCAGTTTGATGTCAATGCCCAAAAATATACAAACTTTATCTCTTTTTCCCCATAGCTCCTAATTAGTCCCAATGGAGATAAATATTTTTTTTATTATTTATTATTGTCAGTAACAAAAGAAGTCACTCAACCGACCATGACCACCCTAGAGGAAAGTGAGTTAATATTCTTTCTGTTGAAAACTTAACATCCATAGTCAAGATGTGATGGTGTGTCTCAAAGAAATATGAGAAAAAATATACAAAAGCATGAGCTATTGGCTTTCATAAAATTGATAAGCTTTCAATAGATTTTCCCTCCATCAATTCATATAACTGATATTATTATTACCAATTACTAACTAGTAATGTATGGCATATTCTAGCTTTAAAAACTGCTTTTAATTTTTATAATTATGTTGTTGATATTTTTTAAATTTAAATATGAAACAAGCTTGTTTTACATGCAGATCCCTATCCCCCCACCCTCCCCTCCTCCCCGTCCCCCCCCCCCCCGCAACTCCCTTGCCAATTTTTATAATTATTTAAATAGGTTATCACTTTGAACTTACTGAACCTGCATTTCCAATGTCATATCACATTGTTTTCCTTAAGGAAGACCATTTCAATTGTAATAGCTTTAGGGTCCACAGTCCTGAGAGCTGCCTTTAAATCCTGGGCCCTGCTTAGGGAGGGTGTGATGCTTTTATTCATTCCTCCATACTCTCCTGTATAGTTCAGTTGTGTGTGCATGTGAATGTATGTGTATGTACATGTGTGCATGTGTGTCTCTCTGTGTGACTATGTATGTCTCTCTCTCTCTCTGTGTGTGTTTCACACAGCTTTGGGTTAAGTATTTTACTTCACAAACACTATTACATGGCTTTATCTCAGGAGCTTCCCTAGACAGAAAACAAAATTCAGGTTTTCAAAGACCAAGCTTCTGTTCAGGGTTCTCATCCCTTCTAGACATTTCTGCAGCACTGTCAGTTGTACCTGGCCACATGACAGGGGGCTGAGTCAGGTGAGAGAGAGAAGCTGAACCGTGGGGCTGTGTGTGTGTGTGTGTGTGGGATCTGCTCTACTGATGTCAGTTCAACAGGAAGCCTGTCTTCTCAGGCCCTGATTTCCTCCCTCTGACAGAAAAGACCATATAAGGCAAAGTGCACATATCCTCTGAGAGGGAAGTTCCTGCCACTAAACTCGCAGCCCTAGAGTTGTGCTTTTCTCTGCTTCATTGAAGTTTGGAATTTGGCAGCTGATTTCCCCCTGCAGACCTACCTTCGATGCCTCTGATTTCCTGACCCCTTTCTCACCCTACTTTCCTGTGAAGCCCACCTCTCTTTCTAGGACCATCTCCCCCCAGGCCTGCCTAAGGAAAGTACTTGGTTGTTAGTCACAAAAGGTGACATAAATACTATGTCTCTGTAGGAGAAATTGCTGATGGCATGGAACTTTAAGGGTTGAGTATGGTGAGCAGGGGAGTACCTATCATTACTCAGGAGGGCTTGGGGGTGCTCGCCCTCCTCAGCTAAGGCCATAGCTGGGAGAGGGTTAGAGCTTTTGCTGGTGTTCAGACCGTATAAATATTGTAAGTCTGGAAGTGCCCAGTGTGGGTCAAGATCTCCATCTGCAGTCTTTCCTATAAGAACAACTGTTTCTACTTCCATGGGGAAACACAGAACTGACAGAACTATCATACAAGCAAACATATCCAAAGTGTGTAATTGGACGCTGGGGAGGTGGCTCAGGAGGCGTCACGCTAGCATGAGGACCTGAGTTGGACCTCCTGAATGTTAAACAGATTTTCAGAACTGAATAATTCATCCCTCCAAATAAATAAAGCTGGGCATGGTAGCTCTGGAATGATGGAGACTTGTAGATCTCTTTCCCGGGGTTCATAGGCCAGACAGACTAGCCCAAGTGAGAGACCGTGAAGAATGACACCTGAGGTTAACTTCTGGCCTTCACATGCACATACACACATGTACTCTTCACATGTATGTGAATTTGGAATCATAATAGTATGCAAATATACACATGCATGTACACAATGCACTCTTCACATGTACGTGAATTTGGAATCATAATAGTGTACAAATATACACATGCATGTACACACATGTATAACTCTCAGCTGTTCCATCCCATTGAGTCTGGAGCTGGACTTTTATGTAAACACAGGAAGCAGTGGACACTCAGGGTGCATTGGTTTGTAGACCGATCCCAGCATATACACCCCTAAGGGCCACCGTAGTGATTTTCTCCAGTGGGGACAGGGACAAAGACCAAGTTTTCCCTGTGACATCTTAGACCCCTCTGAACAATAGTGTTCACTTACCAGTAAGATCCATGGTGATTGGCCCTGGTGCACTGTCACAAACAAGGCTAAGCCGGGTAACAGTCACATTAGGGACCGTTGGGTCTGCAGGGTTAAAGAGAAAATGTCAGTATAGGGAAAGGGCACGTGTACGGTGTGTGTGTGTGTGTGTGTGTGTGTGTGTGTGTGTGTGTGTGTGTGTGTGTGTCTGTCTGTTTGTCTTTCAAATTGTGGATGAGGGAAGAGAATATAAGGAGATAATGACTTCTCTATGTGGAGTAGCAATAGAAATTATGGCAAATAGATTTACTATGCTTGGTATTGATCCCTATAGAAATGGCAGAATTGTGATTTTTCTAATTCAGGAATTTGCAGACTGTGCCGGATACTTTTATGTCAAGTCGACATGAGTGACCATCACTTGAGAAAGTGCCCTCACTAGACTGGCATATGGGCAACCCCATGGGTTGTCTTGACTGATAACTGTGGTGGGAGGGCCTAACTCGTTATGAATAGTGTTTCCCCTGGGCTGGTGGTCCTGAGTGCTATAAGAAGGCAGGCTGAACAAGCCATGGAGAGCAAGCCTGTAAGCAGCATCCTTCCATGATTTCTGCATCAGCTCCTGCCTCCAGGTTCTTGCCCTGCGTTCCTGGCCTGATTCCCTTCAGTGATAGACTGTGATTGTAGAAGCATAAACCAAATAAACCCTTTTATCCCAAGTTGCTAACTAAGACACAGACTCACCTTAATTATAAGTCTCAAATATTGAGACATTGTCTATTAGGCTTTGTCACCATGTCTGGTTCTGTGTGTGTGTGTGTGTGTGTGTGTGTGTGTGTGTGTGCGCGCGCGCGTGTGCATGCGTGCATCAAACAGACACACACAAACACACAGAAAAAGAGAAAGAGGAATAATAGTTAAGAAACACCCAAGAAAGAGAAAAAAAATCCTTGAGGACTGACGGAGTCCAGATTACAGTGTAGCTGTGGTCTGAAATTCTAGGTCCTCCCTGTGGGAAACTTTGGTCTGTCTCACCTCCAACTCTCACACAGTCTCCAAGGAAGATTTAATTATACGGCCACGACCGTAGGCAGCGTGCATCAATAGCGACTCACCCACCTAACCATGTAGCCCTTTGCTCCTGGCTGTGGGTGACAGCTGTGTGTGTCTCCCCGGAGGCCTTCTTCTGAGCCCCGCCCCGTCCCCAGTCCCCACACACCTGCTATCACAGGAGCGTCTCCCAGCAGGGTTTTCTTGTACTTGGTTAGACTCTCATCATCTTTATCCATCTCCTGCAGCTCCTTAAGGGACTTCTGAGGGGGTGGCTTGTAGTTGAGCTTGCTGTCCAGGTCATCGTCCCCCTCCTCCAGTTGTGGCTGAGCATCCTTCTCAGTCATCTTGATTTCTCTTTATTCAGAGAGAGAATGATGGTCTGTTAGCCGGTTGGGTTGCTATTGGAGCCACCTGTGTCTTACTGAACATCTGTTCTCGTCGGTGACCTTCAAATTGTTCCTCAACACATTCCATGAAATATATAATCTTCCCAGCCATTTCTCTGACTTGTCTGGATCTTTCTTTTTAGAAACAGAACTACAGGAGCCAGTAACTCATGTGTGAGCAGCACACAGTGGAGAAACATAACAGACAGTCCCAGGGACCAAGTGTTCTAGCTTTGCCCCATTGCTGTCCCCAGTGTGCAGGCTGAGTTATGGTGACACACACACAGGGAGAGCATGTGTGGTCAAATGCTTGGTTTCTTCCCATCAACTCCCCCGGGAAACACAGACCTCTGACACCTGCCTGGGATACATGAATGGGCCGCACCACACACTGCTTATCATGGCATGAGGGCAGACTCTGGGTCCTAGGTTTATCCGAGTCCCCATCCACACTCCACAACACTTGTGCAGCTCTGCGTTTTACAGTTTTTATTGATTGATTGGTTTCACTCTGTATCTTGTGTTCTTTTGTCATGCCACGAGGCAGCAAAGGGCTCAAATTCCTCCAGGCAAACTCGGACGTGCAGATTTGTTATCGCAGGCCTTCTATTAACCTTCCCTTTTCTTTGGGTCTGTGCAGTAATCTATATTTCTAGTGACCTTATGCTCTCCATACACTTTGGGTTAGCTATGAGTGTGGCCTAATAGAAAACTATAAACTTACTTAAGAGGTTGGTTCCCCCCCCCCAAAAAAAAAATCAACTTATGGCATGACTCTTGAGCATGAAGTTTATTAGTGAAAACATTGTAGATGAGTGCCAAAAGGTTGGACACATCTACAAGGTCTCCTCTGGGTAGACTGTGGAACATTCCTTCTCTAATCATCATCTACATGGGTAAACAAAGACATCATCATCTACTTGAGTTGTATAAACACAATTGAGGAGGATATAGTAAGATTATCCTTGTGTGAGTGTTGATGAGCATCCATAGAAACGGATTTTCAGAGCCCAAAACTTAAGAGGTAAACTAGTCCAACTTGTCCCTGAACCATTGGGAAAAATGAGACCTGATGGTTAAGAGACTCATTCCTAGTCACACAGTGCTGAACTTGATAGTGTGGCTGGAGGTAATGGCAGATGCTGCCTGGGAGATGCCTGGGCCAGGATGGCAAACTTCTCACCTCCTCTTGCCCATAGGCACAGCCTTCATTTCTCATACTTACACACCTGGAAGACATTATCTGTCACATCTTATTTATAGTGACACTGCGAACCTCTGAGAATTCTCTGGGGATGAAGAAATGTCTACCCCAATTTGATCTGTGTTTCAGTGTTACTTATGCAATATAAAGGAAAGTAATTCAGAAATGAAGACTAACAAAATCAAATTTAATGGAACAAAAGAGAAATGGCAGGGTGTGTGGAGAGGGGACGAAGGAAAGGTTGAAATGGAGGAAGGGATTCATCTTCCAGCAAAACATCATACCAAACACCCAAGCCCTGAGAGGCTCCAAAAGCCACATTGTAATGCATGGGTCCATTTCCTACACAGAAAGGAAGCATGTAGGCTGGTTGCTATGATAACCTTGTCTCACTTAAATCACCAGCATCACCCAAAGCCAAGACTCCAGAGACCAACAGTGAAGACTCCAGAGATCAGCAGTGAAAGCATAATGAATAATCTAGCCCATATTCCAAACAACATTCAGGGAAAAACTAGAATGAACTTGTAGGAAAAGCAAGGAAGGATGTAGTGGGTGGATCTTGTCATTTGGGGTATTTAAGGACAACCTCTAAGGGGCAGATGACGAGCAAGCCGGATAAGTCATATCAGAAGAAGCTGATTATCATCTGGTGGTCATAACGGCTTAACTGATGAGTGTGGTGGAGAGCCCACAACCAACTGGACAGAGCAGCAGGCTCTTTACAAGGTCAAGTGTGGTCCAGTTCACAGGAGTGGAATATTCACTGTTCTGATAGTTCCCCATTGAAAGCCTGACTGTTCGATGGCGACATTGCACCCATTCATCAGTTCGAGATGATCTCATTAGCTTGCAAGAATTGTGATCCTTCATCTTTAGGAGCAAGAGAAAGAGGGGAGGAGAGGGCGAGGGGGAGAGGGGGGAGGAGAGGGGGAACGGGAGGGAGAGAAAGAGAGAGGCTGACATAAGACTTGCAAACTTCTGTGTGACCATTGCCAAACCAATTTTTCCATCATCTGGGTTTCATCTTGTTATTAAATCTGATATAATTTAAGTTTTCATAATTCATTGCAAACATAAATATTTCATAAAACAGACAACTTTTTGAAGACGTTGAAGAGTGGAGGACAATGTGCAATGTCTGGAATTGGTACAATAAAAAGCAGGAGCTCCAGGGCCATATTACAATAATTTGACGTAATTAGAGTACAAGAAAGATACGAGACCAGATGATCCAAAGTTGCTCACTGTGGAAAGAGGATTATTACAGTAGTAAACACGAGATAACTGGAAAGGCAACTCCCAGCCAAAGCCTTTAAGCAGAAAGGAGGCTTGCCTTGAGCTGCTACTGTTTGCAAAGCCCTTTGCCTCAGAGCACACTGACATTTATTATGCTGGTCAGAGCCAGGAGGGAACTGAAATTGATAACCAGTCACACTCAAAGGACCTTGCTGGGTTGACTGGTGGTCCTTCATCTTTTGGGAGATGACAGAACTCTTAAAAATCTGATACACGGGCTGGAGATGATTCAGGGGTTAAGAGCACTGGCTGCTCTTCCAGAAGACCTGGTTTTGATTCCCAGCACCCAGGCAGCTCACTCACAACCATCCCTAACTCTGGTTCTGGAAGATAAATCACCTTCTTCTTGCTTCTGGGGTCCACACACAAATACGCATGCAAAACATCCATACACATAAAAATAAAAATAAGCAACTCATTAAAGAGATGACAGACGTCATGGTCTTTAGTCCAAAGAGGAAAAGAGGAGGCCTGATTCTTTATTCTTTTAATGCGTAGATTCATGGATCTAAAGCCATTCACAATCTTTGTCATGGTCTAAGAGTTCCGGGTTGGAAACTTGACCTTGAACCTGTAACTTCCGGATGAATGAAGCACAGCTAATCACTGCAGAGGAAGCTCTCTTCCCCCGGAGGTCCTGCTGGATCCTTGAGATTGAACCTCAAAGTCAAGACTGTTCCTATTCACCCCAAATGTTGGCTATACAGAACCAGAGGATGTCAGGAGATATCCATGTCTAATGGGCGTGCACATGTGGCTTGTGGTTAGATCCATGCATGGGGTGTTTATCTTTACTGAATAAACAGCCTCATCACACATTGGTTCTGGCTCCCCCAAAGTCAACTCTTGGGCACATGCTTCATCGTTGAGGACCCTGCTTTCCTTATGTTGAGAGATGGGGAACTAGGGCACATGGTCTCTAGATGTCTACTGTCCCCAGCCTTTCTCTGCAAGTAACTCCCTGCCTGCAGTTGTGTGAGGGCTACCTTACCTCATCCGTGAATATCACTGAATTACTTAAATTTCATACGACTTTCCCAGAGGTGCTACATTTTACATGTTATCCAGCTTACTTTTTTTCCTCCATTGTAAATCATTTTTCTTTACCTAAATCCCATTTTATCACAAAGACCTGTCATAAAAAAAAAAAAAACCAGCTGTCAATAATCACTGAATGGTTCTGAGTCAAAACTTAGCAATTACATGCTTGGTGCAGCCCATGAATTACTGAAAGCGATCGCCAGGCATTGTGAGGGAGCTACATGTTTCACAAACAGAAAAAAGACAGGAGAAAATAGGAAATACAATTTAACCACAGGCCAGCACACACAGGCCTAGCTACTAATACAGCTTCATATGAGTTGCTGGTCATAAGAGAAATTAGATTCTGTGTTTGCAGGGAAATAAATCCTGTGCCTGGTTAATTTGGCAAAATGACCTTCATGTTCGATAAAGCATGGGCCTTGAGGAAGGTGGGCCAGCTCAAAGCCTGGCTCTGCACCCAACTTCATAGAGGAACTAAGTAAGCCTTTATTTAACAGCTCCCAGTGCTACAGGAAAACAGATCCTCGTGGCGTGGAAGGGTTGAAGAAACCGTGAACTGCACTGGCCTGTAGATGCTCAATAAATACGAATTCCTTTCCTTGACTCCCTTCCTGGCCCTGACACTATGTGCTTTGTGGTAACTGCCTAAGTGCACGATGCTTCCGCTGGGTACAAACTGATCATGTTCAGCCCTTCCTCCTCAATCTGTAGTCTGTTTTTCCGAGGAGTAAGGAAGAGGGACCTGAAGTTGAGGGACTTCTGAGGATTATCTATTATTATATTAATTATATTATTATAATAACTATACTATTTATATTTATTATTATGTTAATATGATGATAACTAATTTTTTAAAAATACCTCACATTAACAACTTAATCTCAGGTTTTATTTATTGAACCTTTGCCTGACTGGAGCCATGTTCACTCGGAATGATAAGATGAGTCAATGGCTATAGGTCAGTGGATAGAGAAACTCCTCCAGCGCTGAAGCCAAATGCAGGGGATATTTAACTAGGTTGAAAGGCTGGGTCGGCCATAGTGTTACCCTGTACATCTGAGTCACTACAAAGAAAAGTGGCCACTAGAAAAAGGGAGAGGTGTGAGTGGGGTGGGGTGGAAACGGGATTTTCCCAGGTAGGGCCCAGAGCAGATCGCTGGGTTCCCTCTGAAAACTGCAGGCCTCACATCTAATCAAGGCTCTGAAGACTTTGATGCTACTACCTGGTCTCAGGAGACACCAGCTTATTTTCCAGGATATATACAAGGCCTCTTGGTTGCTTCTGGAATAACCCCCACTCCTTTAGTATTTCTAGCCACATAAAACATTTGGCCATCGAAAGGTCATTTTCTACCAAGTCAGCTGTATGGGCATTCCAAACTCTAAAACTGGATGAGAAGATCCAAGCTGGAGACTGAGAGGGATCCATCTCATATGATGCCATGAAGGATGTTATCTTTCCAGAAGGGGATGAGGTTCTAGAAACAGAATTCTCTGTCTCTCTATTTTACCTCTTTATTTTAAAAATCACCCCTACATTTTTTTTTTTTTTTTTTTGGACAGGGTCTCATATGTACCCTGCCAGACCTGGAACTCACAGAGAAACTCCTGCCTCTGCTTCTGAAATGCTAGGACTAAAGGTGTGGACCACAACTGCCCCAGAAACAGAATTTCACCTTTGCCTTGCTGAGAGAGCAGCCTATTATTTCCTGCCTCTGCATTCCTATCATGCTCTTCCCAGTGCTGGAGATAAGACTAAGAATTAGGATGCTTCTCCAACTGCCCATCATATGACACTGTTCTTTTACAAACAATCCACAAAGACAGCTGTGCTCTGGAAGTCATGACTGGGAAAAAAAACTAGACTTGAGTAACACAACACATTCACCAAGGTTTTAAGTGCATGGAATGTAGGAGGTCAAAGACAGTTTCACGACCAATCGAACTTAGGTTATCAGGTCCCTGAAGAGTATATGAAACTCCAACTCACCATCCACCAACAAACACAGTCCACAACAGAGCAGGAAGGCTGACCTGCAAGCACCCCCTAAACACACACACACCCTGGGCACCCCATGTGCGAGCAGAGAAAACTTCTTCCATGGACATTTTCTAAGGCTCTCAGTTCTTTATTGTACCAGCAACACAACTTCAGTCAAAACATGGAATACTTGTGGGTCTTATAATCTTCTCCATTCTCTCAGTACCAAGCTTGGCACACAGAAGGCTCCGAGCCAATGCTGGCTGTCTTCTCTCTGCTTAATTTTCACCCCACAGGGCTTGTCCCTTCCTGCTAGCTGAAGTTTGTCACATATTATACTCCCATAAATTCCCCTCAGAATAAACAACTCTTGTTGTTCCGAGCTTCCAGTGAAAACAGAACCGTGAGACTGCTCAAAGCATGCCTCCCTAGGGACTGACCCATGCTCCTCAAAAATGGCGAAGGACCAAATTCTAAGGGCTGGAAGATGCATGTGAGGTTCCTCACTGGCTGCGTCGTCCTATCAGAACCCCACAGGTCTCACAAAAGGATCAGCTGATTTTGTCACTAAGCTTGTGCTACATTTGAAACTGCCGGGGATACACTCTTAGAAATGACAAAAAATGAATGACACCCACTGGTGACAAATCCCCAGCCAGCAGCCGGTCACCATTGACCTCTTCTCCAGTTCTCCTGTGAGTATGCAATGAGCCAACCCTGACTTCAGAAGGCTCTAGGTGTCTTTATGAAGGGAAGGGGAGGGGGGGCTTCCTGTGAGGGTAGTCTGCCTCGCTCACTGGCGGTGAGAAACTGCTCAGACCCATGTCACATCTTATCCTAGCTAGGGACCTTAGGACAGGCTGCCTGGAAAGTGACCAAGAGAGGAAAGCATGTCAAGGCAAGTCTAAAGCACTTCTAATGAGGTCAAGGTTCAGACCATGACAGCTCAAAAGCCCACTGACCTTGTTCATAGTTGAGTCCACTTAGCTTCTCCTAGCCTCCCTTTCTAAGGCCCCTCTCTGCCTTTTCCGGGTTTGCTTTGGGGCTCTCTGATGTGAAGGGCTGTTTTGTTTTGTGTAGTAACAGTGACTATCTTACTGCCCATCCCTCTGCAGGAATGCAATCCTCCTCTTTGCCCATGCCTTAGTACTTGACAGCTCAGAACCATTTTTACCCCCTTTTTAAACATTGGCTTTAAAGTGCGCTCAAAAACAGGAAACCGCACCACCCCACCCCAGCACAACCCAACATCCACCAACACAGTCCAGATCAGCGCAGAGGTACAGTTTTTCTGTTTCTGAGCTTGGCCCAATTCCAGCTTCTGCCAATCAAGGAAACCGCCCAGTGTGCCCCCCCCCCCTTCCCACTCCAGGTATTCCCAGAGCCCTTATCTAGAACATTCTGGCAGCTGGGTACTCAGCCCGACCTCCTCCAGCTTGTCTACCATTCCCAGCCCTGACTTCCCCTTTTGTGCTCCAGTGATCTCTTTGGCACTTTCTTATCACAAAGTTGGCTTTAAAGAACCACCCTTCTTAAAAACAGCAAGAGCACCTCAGCTGCAGGGACCGTGGTGTGGTTCTGAGATTTCCTGCACAGTTCTGCGCCCACCTGCAGCCCCCACCCCCAACCCCCTCAGGCTTTCAACTTACATGCAGGGCTTCACGACAGTCTCTGCCGGCTACCTCTGCCTCTCAACTCTGACTTCTGAGTACTGGCAGTTAGAACAGGAAGGAAGTTAGTGAGAGGAGAGAGAGAGAGAGAGAGGAAAAAAAATGTTTTAAACCTACTTGAAGAGGAAACCCTGGGCTGTCTCAAATCCTGTTCCTTTGCACTGCCTATCTGCCGATCAGCCAGCTCTTGAACAGCATTCTTGACAATTAATGACACATGCGGAGCAAGCCAGCCCATGTGACATGAGATGCATGAGTGTACATGCCGGGGATGGTCTCCACAGCCATGCATGTTGTGAATAGGTGTGTGTGTGCGCGCGTGCGAGTCTAAGAGTCTAAGAGCCATTATCTCGCCGGGAGGCTTGGGGCCCCCAAACAGTAGTAACAATGTGTGTAGGGCTGTAGTGGGCACTGCTCACTTCTGTTTCTATAAGGCCCCTGCCGGCTTCCTTTCTTTCCTTTTTTTTTTTTTTTTTTTTTTTTCTTTCCTTGTAAGACATTTTGCTGGTAGGAAATGCAGAGTAGAGTAGAAATTCTGAATGTTAAATGTATATACTTGGTGCTAAATTGAAATAATTTGGTTTAGACAGATTTTTAGAGCTTTATTTATTGGCTCTGGTTTTAAGATGTTGCTGTGTGTTGAACCACCACCCTTCAAATGAAGTAAACAGAAGTAAAGCAACAACAACAGAAACCCACCACCACTGATTACATCTAGGAAGGCAGACTGCAAAAGAAAATCCAGCCTCTTTAGTTCATCATTTGATGCAGGAATCTGAGATGATCGCGCGTATATGCTAAGATTGACTTTGTAGCTATTTGAGGAAATGGTTTGTGAAGTCATTTAAATGCGAGCAAGCTGCCAATGCCATATGCAAACCTTTTGAAGAAACAGTTGTAGTGCTCTGTGTCTCACTCCCTCTCCAGGCTCCCGTGTTCTCAGTCAAAAATGCATGCTCATTTACACTGTTTCAGTAACCAGTATTCCAGTTGATACACTTAGTCCTTGCTACTTCAACAAAGCCACTTGTTGAAAAGGGCATTGGTTCCGTCTTCCTCCAAATACGCTGCATGGTCTTTATTTTGTCCTTAGGATAGGTAGGACTGGAGTGACCAAGGGGATGGTAGTAATATGGTTGGAGAAGACAGACTAGCCTGGGAAAAGTGTAAGAAGGAAGACAGTGGGGGTTGCGGGATATGGGCCGGATAGTTTTATGTCATTTTGACACAAGTTGTATCCATCTGAGAGGCAGGAGCTTCAAAGGGAGAAAAGAAAACGCTTCCATAAGATTGGGCTGCAGGTATGCCATATAGGTCATTTTATTAATGTGATTAGTGGGAGAGAGCCCAGTTCACTGTGGGTATTTCCATCCCTGAGCTGGTAGTCGTGGATTCTATAGAAGAGTGGTACTGAGCAAGCCACGGAGAGCAAGCCATTTAGCAGCATCCTTCCATGGCTGTGGATCAGCTCTTACCTCTAGGTTTTTTTTTTTTTTTTTTTTTTTTTTTGCCCTGTTTGAATTCCTGCCATGGCTTCCCTCAATGCACTATGATATATATGTAAGCCAAATCAGTGCTTTGCTCCTCAGGTTGCTTTGGTCATGGTGTTTCATCACAGCAATAGTGGCCCCAACTAAGACAGGGTGCGTGCCTGAAATACAACACTCAGAAGGCTGAGTCCAGAGCAAGCTGGATATATATTCACACATATATATTCACACACACACACACACACACACACACACACACACACACGCATGCATGTTATAACAATGGGGGAAAGGTCAGGAATTTGAACTTGTTGAGGGGTGGTAGAGCTTGAAGGGAGGAAAAGTATGAGAGAAATGTCATAATTGTATCATAATCTCAAAAATAAAAAAGTCTATGATCTACCCAGAAGAAAAGGAGGGGCATATTTATTTATTTAGTACTATTTGCCCAGTACTTCTCTTCCAGACAGTGTTAGGGTACTGGGGTACATGAAAATCTAATCTCTGCTGTCCAGGGGAACTTATGTTCTCCCGGGGAGACAGAATAACCCATAGGATACATTAATAGAATAAAGCATACTTAAAACTTAGAAGTGCTGGGGGTCAAGGTCTACCCGATTCCACCCATTCCTGTGTGAAGAGGTCAGGCCTGACTCTGTCCCTGCTTGGCTGAGCTCAGAGTATTCTTGCAGCCTGTGTTACCGAGGCATTTTAGGGAAAGATATCAGAAGGCAAAAGCTGTAGACTCCATGCGGTAGTCTATATGCCACTCTTGGTACACAGAAAAGTTCATAATCTTTATCAAGTTTTCAGAGGGGTCTACAACCTTAAAATATTAAAGATTACTGCTTTCAGTCATCATTTTGAAGATACATTCATGGAATATGTTCTTCTGTGTCCAAATGATGGGTGTTCAGGAAAACTGATAGGATCTGAGAAAAATATTTTTGAGACAGGGGTTCCCTGTGTAGCTTTTCAGGCTGTCCTGGAACTAACTCTTGTAGACCAGGCTAGTCTCGAACTCACAGAGATCCACCCACCCCTGCCTTCCAAGTTCTGGGATTAAAGGCGTGTCCCATATTGCCGGGCCCTTTCTGTGTTTTTCTATGACATGTCATTCTTTACATTTATTTACCAAAGGAGAATATGGAATAGATTCCTTCAAAAGGGTTGAAACAGCAGACACTGCCCTTATACCCCATGCTGGAAAGGATTAGTTATTGACCAAGGCTCCCTTCCTTTCCCTTACCCAAGAGTCTGCAGATATAAAACAATGCCTTCCTGATAAGAGGAATTTTGTTTCAGCACATGGGCATGCTAACGCCAAATGATGTCACTAAACTTTAAAACCTGCTTAAGAATTTTCAGAACAAAGATGAAAGTCTGGAGCAATTTCCCAGCTGTTTCAAGGGTACAACAGAAAGGAAAAGCCAGATAAATCTTGCCAGGAGCCTGTAAAAGTGTTGACATCCCTTACCCCTCTGGCTGCTGACACACGGGCCATGATTTTGCAGACATATGTCTTAAAGGACATAAAAAGAGACACTCAGAGGAGGCTTTCTGCTCTAACCTCTGCCTGCTCTGAAATGTGTCCAATATAGCAGTCTTGGAGAGGGGAGAGAAAAGCTTCTTCTGACCTTGCTGTCAGCCCCCTTGGTGTGACCCGACACCCCTCCCCCCCCCAGTTTCCCATCTGCTTCTGACCCCGCCCTGTCTCTCATCTGCTTCTGGTCCCGTCAGCCCCCTTAGTTTGACTCCCCCTGTCTAAGCTTCAGTTTTCTCATTTGCATAAATGAGGTATATTTTATTTTGTTTTTGAACTCTTTTCGTTATAAGTAACAGGTCAAGCATACATATTAGACCAAGCCAGACAGGGTGATAGACAGCCACCCACCTCATCTTATCCCAGGGCCTTCAGGGAATTAGTAATGTATCTTCACACAGTGTACAAATATCTCGAAACACTTTGGGTAACTCAAGATTGCTGGAACTGATGGGTATGGTTTTGGGTATCAGTGATCCCAGCAATTAGGTGGCAGAGGCAGGAGAAGGATTCTGCATTTCAGGCTATCCTATACTACATGTCTGGTTCCAGATAAAGCTTGGGCTAGACCTTCTCAAAAAAGACAAAGCAGGACAGCCAGAGAGGAGGTGAAGCAAAGGCTGATGGAATGTAAAGTGTTGGAAATATAAGGATGAGAACTACATTTGAAAGGGGCAGGCTCAGAGTCTAGGGCACGCTAGACTGCATTAGCCGTACTAATGAGGAACTTGGGTTTGATGCCATCAGTAGTGGGCAACCACTGAAAATGTTGGAGGAACATGGTGCACTTTGGGTTTTACATAGTTTGTGCACAAGATCCATTCAGTTCTGTTAGGCATGGACTACAACATTCAGCACAGAGGAAGTCAAATCTCAGGAATATGCAGGCAAGACTTGATGCTTGATGGGATGTAAGGGTGAGAAGGAAGCATGGATATCAGACAACTTCCAGACTTCCTGTTAGGGTCCTTGGTGTCCTGGAGCCTGGAAAGGAGGGATAGCTGTGTCAGGGGAAATGAATAATGGCTTGCATTTGGATCTGCTGAATGTTGAGTTGAACTCACATGTTGTTGGTAAGGTTATATCTGCCAGACAAGATGATATATCAAGCTTGGACTTGGGTCCCTGGCTCTGGATAGGGATTTAAGGCAGGCTGTCTGCAGCATCCTGACAAATAATCACTTATCTCAGACAAATCTTCTCCTCTCAAGCCTAGATTTCTTCTATTTATTCTCTCTACCTGGCAGCCCTGCCTATCCTTTCTCCTGTCTAGCTATTGGCCATTCAGCTCTTTATTAGACCAATCAGGTGTTTTAGGCAGGCAAAGTAACATAGCTTTACAGAGTTAAACAAATGCAGTATAAAAGAATGCAAAAGATCTTTGCATCATTAAACAAATGTTTTCCAGGATAAATGAATGCAACACATCTTAAACTAATATTCCACAACAGGCACCAGCTAATTAATAGACTCTTATGTGGTTCCTTGGATACTTTAAACTTATTCCCTACTGCTGTTTGCTCCATTGCAGTCTCTTCATAAGAAATGTCTTCTTGTGTGGGAAACAATTTTCTCTGCAGAAATGTGTCTTTGCCTAGATCCTTGTGCATAATTTGCTTCCTGTCTTTATTTAGGTTTCTACTCAAATATCAAGCCACCAAAGAGTGGCTTTAGCCACACATCTAAAATAGTGAGAGGCTGGAGGGATGACCCATCAGGTAAGGACACTTGCTGCTGAAACAATCAGTTCTATCCTCTGGATCCACATGGCGGAGGAAAGAATGGACTCACATAGATTGTCCACACATGCATGCCATAGCATGTATGTCCTCCCCCAAATAAATAAATGTAATAAAAATTGTGCTTCATAACCATTCATATTTGTTTTATTTACAAAATGAAACATCTAAAATTTATATACATATTCCCCTCAGTTATTGTCAATTTTTCCCCAAGAATGAGAGTTCTCCCAGGACAAAGATTTTCTTCTATCCACTGCTCTCTCAGGGGCTAGTGCCTTGCTTAACTCATCATAGGCCTTCAGCAAGCATGGAGAATGAGTTTAAGAGGATCACACACTAGGGAAGAGAATCTATGAAAGAGGAAGCTGTAGTACCTGTTATGTGCACTTACGCACCAACCTGGTCCCACAGCCGCATCAGTCCCAAAACAACACACAGCACAGAGATTCTATTAGTTATAAAGCTGTTGGCCAA